TATATATATAGAGAGAGAGAGAGAGAGAGAGAGAGAGAGAGAGAGAGAGAGAGAGAGAGAGAGATGTATGTTCTCCCCGGGCCTGTGTGGGTTTTCTCCGGGTACTCTGGTTTCCTCCCATATTCCAAAAACACGCCTGGCAGGCTGATAGAACACTCTAAATTGTCCCTAGGTGTGAGTGTGAGCACGGATGGTTGTTCGTCTGTGTGTGCCCTGCGATTGGCTGGCAACCGGTTCAGGGTGTTCCCCGCCTACTCCCCGAAGATGGCTGGCATAGGCTCCAGCACCCCCCACGACCCTTGTGAGGATAAAGCGGATCGGAGAATGGATGGATGGCTGTCCCTTACTTTCAAGTATGTGTTAGTGAATAATGGAAACACTCAGCTTGGGTATATAGATATACTGTTTTAATTGTACCTTCTGCCATCTAGTTGTTTTTTTTTCTTTTTACAAATTTGCACCCTTTGCGATTTTAAAATTGCATTTGACTACATTGCGATGTTGATTTGAATTGGACAACAGTAAGTATTCAGCCAAAGTATAAATGTTCCAACCCAGAGGAGTCGCAGCAGTGTCTCCTGTTCTCAGTTTCCCCCCCACTCTGCTGCAACACTCTTCAGAAGATACCTCTGCTTTTTTTCCCTCATTATCCACACCAGATGCTTCCGACTAGTTCCCCAATCATGAGTTGGGAGGCCTCACAGTCAGGCAGGAGGTGGGACAGTCCAGGGTCTACTGGAACAAAAACAGAGACGCCAGTATGCATGCATGTGCTGATCTATCAGCTCGGCAAAGTTTTGATTACTTCTAAGCACAGAGCAGAGGAGCAGACACACAGCAAGTAGTGAGCGAGACAGATGAAATTTCAAACAGTGTCTGTGCTATGTTTGTCGAGGACCATCTGTTTCTTCCTGTCTTGCTGCTTGATTTCTGTGTACACTATCTCACTTGTTCGCCACTGGTCCAAACACAGACGGTGCTGTTTCCTTTTCAATCTAAGAAAAGAACACAATGGCGTTAAGACAGGATGCAGTGAAGAACTCCTGAACTTTCTTCATCTGTAACAGCTACAGTGGTAATTTCACATTTGTGCTTTTATTTGGCAAAGGTGGCACATGATGACAACACTCATCTTGTCATTTTGTTGGTGAATTCGGATTTGAAGGATTTTAACATTTTTATCATCTTGAGTAAAGTCACTCAATAAAGCAAATGTCATGCCAAAGCTTTGTGGTGACAAATAACTTTCAAGTTCAACCTTACAAACATTCAGACACTCCTTGCCATGTTGCAGTCTTAAGAAAAAAGTAAGAAATGAGAAAGTCACATTTCTTCTCTGCTTCAGGGGTCAACCTTAGATGAGCATCTGGATTTAGTCTGCTCTTTAAACTACTCCTGAACTCTCCATCTGACCTTTGGTTACGACCTTTGCTAATCTCAAATTGTTATATCAGTCAGAGGTTAAAATACATGAAAGAACACACGCTGGACATGTCACATTGATGTATGCCCCTTTGCCATTGCGGACACACACACGCACACACACACACACGCACACACACACACACACACACACACACACACACACACACACACACACACACACACAGATTTACTTCATTTCACAATAACTAAACAAACATTCTTCCAGAAATTTGCAACACTGGTGGAGTCCATGTCTTAAAACCTGCAATCATTGCTCTTTGTGCCTCGGGCATGTCAAAGACCTCAACTTTGGATCACACAATGCCAATACTCGTTTCTTTTTCATACAGAAGAGTCAATGTGTTGTGAGTTACTTGCTTTGTTTCACCACGTGTGATAGGAGCAGACATAAAAGGCTTTCAGATGATTGGCATCTTCTCATCTGGCGGGTGAGTCCGTGACAGTGTTACCCCGCTATATTGCGTTTTATTTATTTATTTTTTTCAAATAAGCATTTTATCATGGGTTTATACAGTATGTTTATATACTGCCAGGCCTTTGCATGAGGGAAAGGATGATGTTCATGTTCATGTCAACTTTATTGTCCAATGTGCTACATGTGCAACATACAGCACAGATTAAATTTCTTTCCTCAGGAGAGAGAGGAGCCGCTGCGGGTGCCCGATGTTAATGATACAAATTCTAGCCCTTTATAGAATACAGGCAGAACAGTAAAACAGTTAAGCAGGCATACGTAAGAGCTGCTGTTGGTCACAGCTCATGACCAGATGCTCACATGCAGATTGGTCACACGCCACCCCACTAGGCCCCACCTCTTAAAGGCATGTGCATTGTGCATGCACATCTTACAAATTGTCCTATACTTTAGCTTTTGTCTTAATGGGTTAAATACATGTGGTCAGGGTAAAACATAAAACACACATTTTTTTTCTCTCCAGTTTTTTCTTTTTGACATTTCTTTTTTTTTTGCACTCACAAACTTTGTAAGTAGAGCTTGATTGCCAAGATTTGTCCCTGTCCCTTGTTTGTTTCTTTGCATAGATCAGCGTTTCTCAAGCTTTACTGAGCCAAAGCACATACTGTATTAGAAAAATCTCACCACACACCACCAAACAGAAACGGAGGAGAAACTGCAGTGATACAGGCCAGAATCTCATATAAGGTAGGACAAAAGAAAAGTTGCATCTCATGTCTGGGTTAACTAACTGGGTTAACTAAATATGAGAGCAGAGGATTAAGTCTTAAAATAAGATTGAACATTTCTACAGAGGGAGTCATTTATTTATTTTTTTATTAGTTTACATGTCTTATTGTGGTCATTTGACATGACCTTTCTGCGTAACAGTATGTCTCCTCCTCCTCCAGATTGACCGTATGGCGAAGGGTCATGGTGCTCACACGCAGCTCCGGGAAAAGGCGAGGCAGAGGTGACCTGATGTATTCAGGGTTGGGCTTTTCAAAAACATTACAACACAGCTGTCATTCTCCATCATCTGACACATAATAATGTTTATGGTGAGTAAGGTTAGGTTTGGTACAATTGTTTGTTGAGTATGACTCACAAGATTGTCATTACTGGCTAATCTGTGCCGAAAAATCAATGTTACTGATGAGACATTTTCTAGTAGGGCTGAATCCATTATCTTCCATCAATTTGTAAGATGTGTGTTCATGGTGACACACTGAAATTACAGTACCGCATGTCTGTATCATTAACCTCACATCATGAACATTAGTGAGTGTATCATGCCAGTCTACAGGTGGAAAACGTACGCAGGCAAGCACGCACATACGCACATCCAGTTACAGTCACTTACACAACTCCAAAGTCGCATTTCAAATTTTTTTTTCTGATTTTTGTCCCAAAACCAGTTATCATCCAATCAATACTTTGTAGTTGGCTGAGTGTAATTTGCACTAAAAAATGCTGATGGAAATGATGAACAATGCAATTTAATGCAAAGTGAGTTATTGTTTCAGCATTTGTGTGTTTGCTATTTTGACCTCAGGAAATATCTGACCATTTCAAGCATTTAAATTAATAAACAAACAAACAAAAAAAATGCCAATCAGTACAATGTGCTGACACTGCAACAAAGTACAGTAATAATAACAACTATTCTTACATTAATACGTCTCTAACGGTGAATCAGTCAACATTTAGCATAATTAACTTATCTTTCTATCATTATTTACCTTTTCTTTTTTTCCCCCAACTTGTTTACTTATTCACCACTTCTATCTGCTGGCTGGACATAAAACACAAGTATTATAGCACACTATTTCATTTATTTTCACAAAAGAGAGTCAGATTTACACACAGTGTGTTTAAGATTCAAAATGCTGAATAATCTTTTGCTTGGTCAAGTTGTCATCTCTCTCATCTCTCAGCATCAGTTCTCATAACACCAGAGAATTGTGAGCCTTTAAGCCACATACACTAAAAATAAGACATTAGTGTTTGCACTAGGCCGCACCTGTCAAGCCGACTTCCAAAGACTAGTGCAGCCGACATTTGCTGTGTCTGATCCGCTGGCTTGTGCAGTTTGAAAGTGCAGAGAGGCCCTGCTCTGCATAAGTCATCAACTGAACCGCACCAAACCTGCCGTAGCCAAATTCTTTCTACGAGGTCACGAGTGGCCTGAAAGTACACATGATGATATATTCAGGGTTATTTTACATTTTCATGACTGCTTTTGAGACAGTTGCAAAAAAAGGCCAACGTGGGAAAGTTTGTTGAGCCTGATCACAGCCATTAGCCGTAAGGTGAAACACTGACATAATCATTTTTTCCTCAGTAGTTATCTTAATTTTTTATGAAATGTTAGTATGGTAAACCATAAAGTCGACCTTCTCAATAGGTATGCATTAAAATAAAAAAAATCCAACCTCTGTAGCAGTTTTTTACCAAAGACAGTACAAAGTCTTCCGGTGCTTTATTGACCACCACTGGGATTACCAGGCCCTCAAGAACACTTTGGGGACAGTGTCCCCCACCACCACGCTAATCCGAATTTAGGACCTTGAAAAAAAAGGTTTGTTCTTGTTGTGGGGGGAAAAAAATAGAAACGTCAGGGTCCTGTGGCTTGTTTTTTAATGATGCTTTTGTATTCAAGGTGATTAGATTGTGCAAGTGTAGCTAATGGGTGCATTCATTTGAAGTGGCTATCCTATCATAAAGGAAAGTGGCGACGATTAGTGTCAAGCGTTGGTGGTATAGTGGTGAGCATAGCTGCCTTCCAAGCAGTTGACCCGGGTTCGATTCCCGGCCAACGCATAAACTTTTTTTTTTGTAGCTGCAATTTTACATCGCAGCTTGCACAAAACTAAAACGACAACTACGTGTTTCAAGTGAGGCAAAATTCTGAATTAATATTTCGGTACGCGAGTCCAGGAAGCTCAACTTCTGACTACTAATTGTGGCGAGCAGTGTTCCTTCAATTTTAAAAAAACAACTCAAATTCCCTCGCACTGGTATGAAATCTGTCTTCATAAAATGAACAATGTTGTTGTTTTCCTCTAATGTAACATACCAATTATAATTCTTCCAACTCCTTTGTACCTGTCTGCTATGTGCGAACGCAGTGTTGTGACTCTTCTTCTTTCGCAATTCCCTTCAAATCAACGCCGATCACTGTCATCTGGTGTATAGACATTGCAACTACATCAGCAAGAACAGAATAAAAGCAATGGCTTCAAATGTACTGCACGCGGTGAATAAAAAAAGCGAAACGTAACCAAAAATACATTATAGCACATCGGTTTACTTCCCCTGCTCAGGTTTAAATTCGTATATAAATACACATTCTGCAGTGAGACCTCGTGGCGCAACGGTAGCGCGTCTGACTCCAGATCAGAAGGTTGCGTGTTCAAATCACGTCGGGGTCAAACTTTTTTTAGGAAAGTATTTAATTTTAATTTTAAAAGTTGGGCGGTTTAGACATTTCGAACAGCGGACTCGGTTGCCCAGCGTCGAAGGAAACATCGACATACGCACGACACACCCATTACCACCCTCCGTATGATTTTTGAATTAGTTATTTTATTTCCGTCCGAAAGTTTTTTTTCAAACAACCATTTACTGCAGTTATGACTTGATGATTATATAGTGTAGTGTGTTAACAACAGACTACAACAGCACGTAACGATTATGTATTAAATGATATATCGCCACTGAGTGGAAGTCAGGGGTAGTAATTGCCATTACTGTACCTTTAATTGGACTGGAGTTGACTCCGAGAGAAGCACAACATTTAAGACAGTGCTGTGTTTCGTCGGAAACGATTAACAGTCGTTGAAAAATAAATTGGGCTCGTCCGGGATTTGAACCCGGGACCTCTCGCACCCTAAGCGAGAATCATACCCCTAGACCAACGAGCCACCCGTGTTAACTTTGCAACTCTTACAAAGAAAACTAAAGCATACATGAACTGCTATACCAAATATAAGGGTCACATTTGAATATTCTCATTCATCCAGGCCATTCCTTTCTCAGAACATTTGAATCGATGTACAATGTACATCGACGTCTGTTCAGTAGCCGAAACAACTAGTCCCTTTCCGCCAGTAACATCAGCTTTATTTTCAATTTCATCCCACACAATAACAGTTACTATGTTGTGATAAATGACCTTACTGTTCACACGCGGATGGTAGTACTATATTCAGCACATTTTCTTTTCACGCCATGTACGGTTTTTATCTGTATGTCATGTGACTCCCCCTAAGCAGCCATCTTGTGGTAGAGAAGGAGGGGGTGCGTTTTTATGGATCCCACTAGCGTTCTTGACAGGGCACGAGCTGCTGCAGTATGATTGGCTGCTATATCCCGGTAGAACACGCCCTACATATTTGCACGGGTCATATTTCATCTGTGTAGCGAATAAGGCGTGTCCTGCCTTGATGCAGCACCCAATCATATAACAGCAAGGCGTGTTGTGCCTACAACCCCAGTGGAATTCAGAATAACGCAGAGGGGAGGGTGCGAGGGGGAAGGGAGAGAGAGAGAGAGAGAGAGAGAGAGAGAGAGAGAGAGAGAGAGAGAGAGAGAGAGAGAGAGAGAGAGAGAGAGAGAGAGAGAGAGAGAGAGAGAGAGAGAGAGAGAGAGCTTACACACTCAACTCGAATTCAAAACCTTGCGCTGTCACATCAAGCAGAGGTAAGACAGCCAAAATAGACGCCCTACCACCAGCACGAGACTGCTGGAAGTAAAGTGCCACGTCGTAAAGCCAACATCAAGCCGAGCCGGGCTGCTTTTTTGGGGGGACTGTTAACGAAGCCTCCTCCGTGTTTACTCCGGGAGGCCTCGGTCCAAAAAAGCTCGTGAGCTAACCTGTTAGCATGCTAGCCACAAGTGCCTGGGCTTTTCGAGGATTAACTTGTGCTGCGGTGGCAATATCGCGATTGTTATTGATGATATCGTCGGTATATGACAACATGTCGAGGTGGATGAGCGTGTGGTTACGTGTGTGTTTATCACCGCGACTGCTCGAATCTCCTCAGCTGTGATTTAACGCTGTGTGCACTTGGTCAACTGCAGTTAGCTTTTTCTTAGCATGGCGGCTAACGTAAGAGTTAGCTGTGGTGTGGCATCAAAGTGTCTGCCAAAAACATACAGCTTCTCGCACCGTCATCAAAATACCGCAAGACACCACAGGGCTACTTTTGTAAGGTCTTAATAAGCATTCTTGCATACGGGAATTAACTATATTGACAGACTGTCGCGTGTAAATGTTGCTAACATGACGAATTTAAATGAACCATTCGTGAAGTAATGTCAGCGTCACCATCCGAACCCTAACCCCTGCACCGAGTGGCTTTTATTTATGACTTGACAAATTTGTTATCAGTGTAGAGTCTGGTAGTTTCACAAACGTGTCACTGGGAGGATTTTATGTTCAGAGCAGCTTTGCTGTTATTGGGCGGCCATTCATGGTGTAGCGTAGCGTCTCCTTAAATGTATTCGACCAGGACTGGACAGCGGGCGTGTCCACATAAATCCCCCAAAACTGTCGTCGCCGTGCCCACTCGTGTTATCTACAATGCATGTCACCTTTCTATCGGACTTACTGCGTTAAGTAGCAACTTACACGTGGCTTATCCTGGCTTCCCATATGGTGAGTGGGATTGGGAGTAGACCGTTGCCCCCCTTTACCATTTGTGGCCCAATTAGCATACCTTCAGTGTGGCAACTTGAGTGGACGTAAAAAAATTACTTGATGACTTGTCTTGCATCCCGTTTTCATATTCCGCCTTGTACTCGAAGTGAAGACTATTTCCCTTGTCAATTTCAGGTGTCTGATGTAGTCACCCACAAGCCCAAGAGCTGAAATAGCTTTAGCGCATTTAAATCATAAACTTGTTGTGTGTGTCAGTGGGTGGGCTCTGTCATGGGGGGAGCTGGGACATGTTAAATCAGCTGACAAAATCTCTTTCAAAATGAAACAAAGTTTTGTTGAATGGAACACAACGGCCTGTTCTTGACAACAAAGCGTGAAAATTTAATAAACAGTGACGTAGTATGCACTTGATTAATTCTCTTGATTAATTGAATTAATTCTCTTTATACATTTTAGACCTTCAAGAAGAAATGGCGGAGACCCAGACACTTAATTTTGGACCAGAATGGTAAAGTAGTACACTTAGGATCATAATGGGGGATTCGTTTGTTGTGAAAATAGTTTTCAGTGGTGAGCCACCCCCCACTACTGCATCCTCTCCCGACATGTTAAGACGTGCCACCTCCATCTTTTCATTCAGTCATTTACTAACCTTCTGGCTCTGTGCAGGCTCCGTGCCCTGTCTGGAGGTGGAAGTGGCGCAGGCGGAGGAAGCAACAGCAATGCTGTTGCCTCACCACCTCTCTCGCCTGCATTGCCAAAGTACAAGCTTGCAGACTATCGATACGGAAGAGAAGAAATGTTAGCACTTTATGTAAAAGACAACAAGGTAAACATGACATTCTTCAGCCGATAGCACGTTTTAAATACAGTGAGCCCCCATATATCAGATGAGATCCAGGCCCACCCAAAATAAGTGAAAATGTGTAATATTGAGAGACCGTGATTTTTGTTTCCCAATACTTTTACCTCTCCCACAGGGTTTTGACACATTTAAATGTTTTAAAACACACTCAAATTTGTTTAAAAAAACAATACAACTTTATTTACAGTGTGCTTTAAGAATAACACAGGTGACTAAAAGCCTTAACGCATAACTTATAGGAGGGGAAAAACAGCAAGGAACAAGACATGTGAATGGACAAAAGGTACTTGGGGATATAAGACCGATTTAAAAAAAAAAATGGTTTAAACACCAACTTCAACAATAGCAGAACACATTATGTAATAAAACATACAATACAATAATACATCTTTATTTATATTGTGCTTTCACACAGCTGCAGCTGTAACAAAGCGACTCACTGAACATTTAACATAAAATAACATCCGACCTCATCTGGAATAGTTGTTGAGATTGTATTATTGTTGATGTTTTATAGTATGTGATTTGCTGGTAATAAAATGAATTAAAATTAACATTTAAAAAATATATTAAATTTAAAAAATAAAAAAAAAGAGATTTTAAAAACAGGAAGTGGGTTGGCCTGTCAAAGGGGCTTGGGCAGCTCATTCCACAATTTTGGGGCAGCAACTGAAAAAGCGCGGCCCTCACTTCAAGGAAAGATTCTCTTGCTTCCACTTCTCCAATTAAGATCAAAGCGTGCTTTCTTCAAGCTGTTTGGTCACTCTATTTGAAGTTTGCTTTCAAACTGACAAAAAGTGCAACAAGCCTATCATATGTTGTATATTGAGCACCAAAATGTTCAATCAAACCGCATAACAGTAAAAGCTCTTAAATCAAAAATAAATGTTATGTTAACGTGTAATGCCAAATGGAAGTCAGCATAGATGTTGACAATAAAGTTGTACTTGACTTGATGTTACGCTAATTATAAAGCTTGAAAGAACTGCTCCTTGAACACACACCGAGCAGCAATGCATCCAAACAGGCCATACAACAGTAGACGCAGGCATCAACTCTCTCTGATGTGAACAATGAACCGAGA